GGTAGGGTCAGCATGCACAGTAAACCATACGGTTTGCTCCAATTTGCCGGGAACGCATGAGTGCAATTGTATGATGGGCTTCTATCAGCAAGGTTCAACTTGCCAAGGTAAGATAGATAAGTTTTCTGTCACATTGGGAGGAAAAATTATACTGTTGCTCTTGCCAGCGTGACTCAAACGCAACCTTTCAAACATCCTAACCTGCTGAGAAGAACTGAGTCGAAGAAGTTAAAATTACGAAATTTTGCACATTATCTCATATCGTGTTGAGTTAATACCGTGCTCATTAAATTACACATACACGGCAAATACAAATTAGGTGTAAATGTTAATACCGTTTGTGTCTGTAGTCTACCAGTGGTTCTAAATTAACACCTGCGGTGTTAATGTTAACAAAAGAGGATTTGCATTGTGTTTGAAGACATCTTTGATCGAAAATCCCTTGATTTATGAAGTACCTTGCCATCATCAGTCATTACATTGCAATGGTTGGTTCAAATTTATATTGTCAGTGGCTCAGTCGTACCAAGCATCAGCGGTGTTTGAGGTCGTCAGTGGGAGGATGGTTGGAGGACCTGACTTCAGTCTCGAAACAGAATCTGCAACATATCGCCAGGAATTAAAAAAATCTGTATGTACCTTGTTCAAACAACGTCCTTATCGTTGGGTGTTCCTCTATCCCATTGGTTTGAGTAATATGGTTATTTTTAACAGAGAATTGGTCATTGTTACTGAAATCAATACCAACATGGCAGCTTCTTTTCGCGTTCATTGAAAAAATCATCATTTAGAAAGTTCAGTTCTACCGCGAGAATGCTCAGTGTAAAAATTGCGTCGATGAGGGCGGCAAGCAAATCTAGCGATGTCATAAACGGTTCTCGTCCCAAAGAGTTTCTTGATTTCTTTAAAGCACAAAATGGGTTAAGGAAGTTAGATGTTTTACTCGGCAAACGATCACAGCCATCTGCCTTTAGTCTTGCCTTTAGTCTTGCTGCCTGTAGTCTTTAGTCTTGCTTTAGTCTTGTGGAGTAAGGGACGGTTCAACTTTACCCTACGATCCAATGTTGCTTCATCGTCAATAGAAGGCAAAATCCAAAGTCGCTCTCACTGTCCAGCTTCTTTAAATTCACATTTAAATGCGGGCGAGCACAGCGCTCACGTACACTGCTCACGCACACTGGAGCGTTCGCTACGAAATAATGAAACAGTCGTAGGCCTATAGAATGCAGAGACGTAGTGTGACTTTTGTTTTCAGTTCGCCTGATATGAAGCAGGACTTCAATTCTTATTTCTCTTAAAATGTTCTTTCTATTTCTAATGGCAAAAAGTTTAAAATTGTTCATTTCCCATTCAATTTTTATGTTCAGATTGAGGCAGCTTTCAACGCTTCCTCGTTGTCCAGTTCCTTCAGAGACGTCGCCGTCACAAATTTGTCTCTGAATTCAGATTCCAGCGTGCTCTTGGAGTTTCTCATCAATTTCCAAAGTGAACACGAGGAGTTGGTCATTATCATGGCATTGCTTGACCAGCTGACGGGAAGCAGTGGGGGTCAGTTAGCGCCCAACCACAAGCTGATCAGACGGACATTTATCATCGGTGATCCAAGTAAGCCTCTAACAAAGCTGTTCTATATGATCTGATTGTACCCTGATAAAAGCGCTGTTGACGTTGCAAGCATTTTGATGTGCGAACGTGTCACGCTCTATGGATTCTTTTCTAGAGTTTAAGAGGCCATTGATTTTATGCCGTGCCTCCGAAATACCACATTTACTGAGAGGATGAGAGTCTCACCTGAAACGAACTTTCGATTACTGCTTTTTTCCCATTATAGAGTGTAATGCAGCACCATGCATAAATGGCGGGAAGTGTTTAGAAGACAACTTGGCAATGGGTGGATACACATGCAGCTGTCCGTCAGGTTATAGTGGACAAAACTGCGAAATAGGTACGGGTGTCATAGGACAGATGACTTCATGTTTTCTCTTACACTCAATATTTTGCGATGCCATTGAGAACCAGCACTGCAACTGTGTCATGTTCCAAACAGTTACCTAAGTGGCACAATTTTTTTTTCTGTGTTGATGTAAAATGAGCGAAACAATCCGGTCCATAAGTGTGCCGTCACTTCAGAGTAAACCACGCCCATTGCACATGCATTGCACACAGAGTTACATGCATTGGTCGCCGTTTACACGGATCATGGAGCCGGAAGTTAACGCGCTTTAGCGATTGTCAACTGGGAGCCAGAAAATCGTGGCGCGTCCGTATTTGTGACGAACTCACGGATTGGATTGAGAACCGCAGTGTGTGTCTCTTTTTGATTTTCTCGCCCTGTAGAACTTGTCGCAAACGGATTCCATTTCACTCCACTTCTGAGATAACTGTTTGCATTTCGAGTGGAAGCAATTAGTTTTTGCTCGGAACAGTGGGTACAAAATGTCTTAGAAATGTGTTAAAACTCTAAGCGTTGTTTTTACAGTGTAGAATACATGGAAAGAGCTACAGGTCTGTTGTGTTTTTCACGGTTGTGAGTTTTATTGTTAGAAAACTCAAAGCAAAATGTCTGTAATAGGTCTATGCTCATTGTCAACAACACAGAGGGGAGACTTTTATAATGGAAGATCATAATTCCATGAGTGGACTGTGCACACAGTGGCAGCCATACCGCGAAACCCCAGGTGATTTACATAGATCTTGAGGGAAAATTCACCTGCTCGTACTCCAACCCATTCTCCATTATGTCCGGTAATCAGGAGCTCATATACGCAGAAGCAACTCAATGAGAAATCGCTTCCTTTAGTTTTGTACTACAATGTGCATTCTTTTCCAGGACCGTGCGATGTCAATCCCTGTGAAAACGATGGGCAATGCGCTATAAATTCAACATCAAATACCGGCTACACTTGTACTTGTGGTCGAGGGTTCAGTGGGCCTCAATGCGAAACAGTTGGTGAGTTTCCCCAAGAAGTTGTTATGTGCCAGGAACAGGATGAAGGTTGGGGTTTTGAATGAAGTAGCAGAGCAAAAGAAGGTTCATAATCTTAAACTTCTGAAATTAACAAGTCATGTGTCGGAGATAATGCAGCCGTTGAAAAGTTTGGCAATTGGGATGATCCGCCTCTCTGAGGTATTTCTACTTTATAAGACTGAGAGTACCTTGTTTCAACAACTTGTGCTGTACGGGCCAACTAGTATCACGGATTTACCTTGTACCATCTGTGTGTTTGAGGGCCCTCTTTTTATTTCTTGGGTAACGGCTCCTCATCCTGTTCTGAAAAAAAATCAAGAAAACACTCGTTAAGAGAAAGCAAAATTTTACTGTACTGTTAAAGTAGGGTAAGCAGTAGGAGGTTTGAAGGCTGCCTACGTTTGAGAAAACATTTGAGAATAATCCTCATAGTCCCATCATCCCAATATGGTCATGCTATAAAAGTCAACTCACACCAGATATATTCTAATATCCTCAGCACCTTGTCAAATGGACAACGACTGCACAAACGGAGCAACTTGTAACGATAATCTGAACACAGTACGTGGCTACAGTTGCAGCTGTCCTACTGGATTCATGGGACAAAACTGTGAGGAGGGTAAGTGTCAAGTGTATTGGGTATCGAAAGAATGAAAACTTTGAGTTTTAATGATATGTGTACCTGTACCAATGACACGTTGAGTTCGATGCCTTGCAATATATTTGAGACGATTAACTAAATACCATTCAAGAAATGAAAACCTCGAATAAAACTGAATAAAACTAATGACTCAATAAAGTTTACACAATGTATTATAAAAGATTCCGTGAGATGTTAACAATGCATGTTCCTGAATGAATTGGCTTGTATGATTGGTTTTCTTTGCGTTAAATATCATAATTTACTTATGTATATTATGTACGTAAGGTTAGAGGATATAGACATAGTCCACCCCGTTGGTCATCTGTAAACCACATTTTGTGCAGTTTAAAGATGGCCAACAATTATCATCCTGTATAAAAATCATATGAATGTGTTTTCCAAATAGCTTGCACACTTTCTTGTAACAATGGTGGTACTCGGGATCTTGAAGCATGCTCGTGCATGTGCGCTGAAAACTGGAGCGGGCTTAGCTGTGCAGGTTAGTTTTATAACATTGGAATTGTATCGTTTTACATTTTATTGGGCCTTTTTTAAGGCAAGTTTGACAAACTTTGAGTGCTCAGCTCTTATCTCTATCTTTAATGTCATGTCAACCATTTTATTATTGGCAGATTGCCAACTGAACTGTATGAATGGTGGAATTCGGAACTCGGCTACCTGCCAGTGCTCATGTGTAAACAGTTGGATTGGAAATACCTGCACAGGTAATTATAAGGTGTCGGGCAGAATTCTTGACTGAATGCCACTCAAAATGTAGCATGATACAGAGCTGTAAATAGGTGAAAACAACACCTAGTGAGTTAAAAAAAATATATCAACGATTGTAGAGATTCGTTTGTCAAAATTCCTATTTCTTGCACTTTGCAGTCTGCAACATATCTTGCCCATCCGGACAGAACCTAGATACCAAGACTTGTCAATGCACAGGTAGGAAAAATAACAGGAAGTTGGAGCATAGGAAAATCAGTACGCCACTGGAAAGAAAAATGTAGGTCCAAACTGTTTGGACCTAAAAGTAACATGTTCACTTCTCAATGTTCTAATGCCTTCGTCATCTGTAAAGAGAGGACTTCAAACAATGGGAATGTGGTGTGTAATTTTGCCAGCTAGTAAAGTTATTGAAAGGCCTTAAGTACGTTACGTAGAATACATGTTCATTTGTTATACACAGTTATCTCTGTGCAGTGTGTAAATTTTATGAGGCAAACAAAAAATCATCACGAAAGTGTACATAATTAGAAAGATATGTGGAGTTTTCTTTTGTTCCCGATAAACAAACTTAAATTTACAGATTTGGCTACAAATTAAAATTTACTGTCTAATAAAATGCAGTCGGCAGTTTTTAAAGAATGGATCGTGAAATATCAGGAAATGATAGTGAAATCAGATGTTTTAGCAAATGCTTGCTTTAGTTCTTAAGATGATTAGATAAGAGCAAAAGGCACGTAAATTGAACAAGCAATCCCAAGCAAACAGACAAACAAACAAACATACACCCCAACAAAACAATCAACCAACAAATAAAAACATGGAAATTAAAAAAACATATATTGGGCATTAAATTTGGGCCACTGATAAAAATCCTTTATGGTTCAGAGGTTATGTGTAATGTCAGAAAGAAACACTTGGAAAAATGGAGTAAATAATCTCCCTTTAGCATGGGGAAAAAGACAAAGCATTATCGAACCGTAATATATTACAATACAATCTGATAAATAGTGCTCGTCTGTCTTTCACTGCTGCATATTGGATTTTTGTGCAGCGTGTCCTTTTACATGTTTAAATGGTGGAACACTGAATGAGGATACCTGCCAGTGCACGTGTGACCCAAATCAGAGGTGGACAGGCGCAAATTGTTCAGGTAACCAAACCAGTTCCTTTCTCTTTTCTCCTGGAAATAAAAATGAAAATATCGTTTTGCATTCAGTTACACATATACAGTTTATAATTTGTGTTCACGTTTGTTCTCGTTTATGTTTATTGATTTATTTGATTTATTTTTGTCATGGCTGTAAGAATATTGACTGGTGAGCGTTTACTTTACCGGTGCTATTGGATAGTTTGCATTAATGTTATTTTGAATTCCATTCCGTTTGTAGCTTGTTCTATTTATCTGCAGGAATGGGAATTTATCGTTGTGTTACGCCATACATATACTGTATACTCAAGAGGATTTTTTAACAGTGCATCTTCCTTCACAGGAGTGCTTGTTCTTTGTTAGTCTTTGTCAACCGGCAGCCAAAATCTTGTATTCACCATGAAATTGACAGGTAGCAGATTGTCATTTAGATACTTATAAGCATGTTCTTTTGTAAACAGTATGTCCATTGACATGCGTGAATGGTGGACAGCTCAACTCAGAGACGTGTCAGTGTGCATGTGTAGGCAACTGGATCGGAAACACCTGTTCTGGTAGGTGTCATGCACGTGTAACTTTAGAGACCTCGTTGCTGTCTGCATCTGCATTGGTATTAAGCACATAATCCTTTGCATTGCAACACTGTACCATCCACAATCGATTATGGTTGGACGTGGTACGAAAGAAGTAGTTGCATTGACCTTGTGACAAAATCCACTTATTGACAGTTGAGCTTATGAGTAGTCTTCAGGGATATTCAGTCCAATACTGGAATAATCTTCTTTTGCTTTGAAATTAATTTCACCGATTATGCTTGGCACATGGCTGATTTGATATCACACCCTGCCTGATCTACATACAGATATTTATCAGCTGGAGAAATAGTGATTGTTTTCACTGGTCCACGAATAAGCAAAATTCAAGGCTATGAATAATTTGAAAAAAATGGAAAAGCATTGAACGAACAACAAAGCAACCAGCCTAACACAGCTAAGTTGAAAGACGCACCTCTATGATTGGGTGTCCGCACTGTTGTATATTCGCTTTTCATGGTACTAAAACTAAAGTTTAAATCATTATAAGGGAAATTTTGCAAGGTTTATTAAGACATCAAACGTGACCGTTCACATTCTTAGGACCTTGGCTTTGGGGATAGGCGACACTGATTTTGGCCACATTTTCAGAGTAATGTTTGCAAATATAAATCACACCGCTCGTGAATGGTTTGATATATGATTATGAAAAAACAAGGATGCCTTCTTTCGAATGTTGAAAACAGTCTCCAAATTACAGATAAAGTTCGATAGAGGAGTGGTAATTTTGTTGCAGGTTGTCAACTATCCTGTGGGAATGGTGGGACCCGGAACGATGCAGCATGCGAGTGTGCATGTGACGGAAACTGGATGGGCAATACCTGCTCTGGTAAACGCATATTTGTAGCAGCTTCGGGATTTTTTTAAAAATCTTAAAGAATTTTTTTAAAACAACCAAAAAAAAAAAAAAAGATATTCATGCATGTGTGTGCAACTTACCCTTAGGCCTTGGAGAACCAAAACATAATCCCGGTTTTGAGAAGTGTATTTTAATGTCTAGAACTAAATTATCCAGGAAATTAGACCCAAAATATCAAAGTGTAGAACAGTTCAAGAATGTGGAATAGAAATACGTAGTAAGTTTAACGACCTGACACTGACACCTGACCCTTCTTTTGTTGTGTACAATACTTTGAAAAGTGATCATGTTATAAAAATCCCCGGACGTCTGCTTGTCGTGCAAACGTTTATAACCTCAGCTGACAAAGCGCTCAACTATTCCAAAGATTAAGGAATTCGATAAAGATCGTGAAAGGTTAAAACTAACAGGTTGTCTTTGATTTTGGCATGTTTATAGCACTTGAAGGTTTTCTCGTTCCGCCTGTGACCAAGACAAGGTTCGAGGTCGCTATCTCTTTATATACCATAATTAATGTTTTGGAAGGTCAGTAATGAATAATAGAATTTCACGTAGAATTTTGAAATGACCAAAACTGAATTTCAAATACGGATGTTAAAAGGAGTGGGAAAACAGACACATTGGAGGTGGTATAAAATGACGAGTATCCATTTCACTTTTTTTACAGAGTGTCCACTGAATTGTGTAAATGGTGAACGCAATGCTGAAACGTGTCAGTGCTCATGTTCTGACAACTGGACTGGAACTACCTGTTCAGGTGAGTTTTAATGAAACTTTTAAATCACGATTTCAGATGAAATTGTTGACTCTGTCACAGGATATTTTGGCTCAGTCAACAATTAATTTTGTAAACCTTTGGAACTCGTTCTTATCATCTAGTTGCATTGATGTTGCCTGTATGTAATTTTACTCAATATTCGAGTTCTTTCCCGCTGTTTAATGGTCGAAGCGTGAATCAATTTGCGCCATGTAGTCAGGGTAAAGTTAGGTGACACGGAGACCTGTGCCCAGGGGCTGTAAGGCAGTTACATCCTGGTTGAACAGAACATTGTACACATAGATTTACTCTGTGGGATATTCGTGAATTACATGCTTTATCTAGATCTTTCTGTACTACTTGCATGAATGCTGTGTGATAAACTAGACTAGACTCGATTCAGCTCATAGAATATGCATCTCTGTAAAAGAATCCACTTTAGCGCTAGTTGAAAGCGCCTAACAAAACTTGGGAGCAAGCACACGTCATTGACAAACACGGGGTGCAGCCCCCTAAATTTGGCCTTGAGTACAAAAGGAAGCGATCGTCCTAAAATCAGTTCAAAATGTACATACCGATGATCTCTTTTAATTCTTCTTGTAGATTGCGACTTGACCTGCTTGAATAATGGAACACTTGACGCGGCCGCCTGCCAGTGTTCATGCAGTCAGAGTTGGAAGGGAACCAACTGCTCAAGTAATAACACTAAACCAGGCATTTCACACCGTGATGAATAGCGTTACAAATGGGAACTTGTAGGATGCAGGCAGTTGAAAGGATGATAAGACTCACTGAAAGACCACAGATTTCCCTAAACCGTGCGTGACACTGAGAGAAAAAAATCCATGCATCCTTGCATTAAGATCTCTTTTTAAATGTACATGGGGACTGAGTATAATTAGCATGTTCGGCGTACGCAATCCTGTATCAAAATGTCTTAGTAAAAGAATAAATACATGCATAAATGCAAAAAAATTAATTATGCAATCCAACTCTGGTTCTCCCTATTTTTCACATATATTTATAACTGAGGCCAACAACCCCCATGACACTCCAGCCAACAATAAGTATCTCAAATCTCACCATCCTTTGTCAATCAGAAGATTGCAAAAACCAGGAATAAAAAGGCAGGAATTCATGGTACTTATTTGTTCCCAGGCATGTGGGTTCTTCCTGGCAGAACAACACCGTGTTTTAGTATACCAGGCAAGATATGAGACAGAGGGGTACCCCCTAACCTGTCAAATTCATATACACACTGTAGACTATTGTTACCTAATACATCCCTCCCTGGAAGTCTGTAAAGAATTCCTGATATTCCAGTCAAACAGTGACAAGCACAAAGGCGGAAGGGGGCTCTGTCCGTCCCATATCTTGCTTCAAATGTGTTTTAGGCTACGTCTGAGTGGGGTAGATCGGGGGGTTCAAAACTTTTGCCGAAAACCTCAGGGGTAGTTAACATTGCATAAAAAGGCTATTAAAATAAACTCTGGCCCATCCAGCGGAAAATAATAATTTTCAGCTTTGAGTTCGTGCCTTAGCGTTAATGGTTGTTATTTCTCCTTGCTTGATAAACTTAATTTTGGAGCATACTACAATATTTGTTCAGCAAAACTGTCTCCCGTGGGCCTATAGCTGTAGGTGAAACACTTGTTATACTGCTAAGACCAATTTTCAAGATCACCGACTGGTTCTCAAAATTATTTTTTTGAAGATCACTATCCCTAATAACACATGCTTCTGTCTTGTGGTTTCTGTGTTTGTGCATTGCTTGTATGCATCAGGTTGCGATCTGTCTTCATCTAGTTGCTTGAATGGAGGTTCATTTTCTGCAAACTTCTGCGAGTGTGTTTGTCCATATGAATACGCTGGACGAACTTGCGAAGGTAGCATATGTAAAAGATTTCTAGTTTACTGTTTCGACCAAGAGGTCTCTCAGTACAAGTGTAATTTATGATTTTATATACATTAAACTAAAAGCTTCCGTTTGTGGTTTTTTTCGTTCTTTATAATGCAGGTGGTAACGAATGCAACATTTGAATAGCATTTCATTTTGAATTTTTTCACCCACCCGGAAAGATTTTCATGCCAAGAAGGTTTTTGCACATTACTCAGCCAAAAAACATTGTACAACTTTTTAACACAGGTTTTTCCCATTCTGACATTTTCAGTGTCCTCTTAGTTATATTTTAACCAATCAATGGTCAGTTTCACCTAGAAGATGAGTTACATAATAGTTCTGAACGCGTAAAGTAAATTACGTAAAAGGTTTGTGGCAGCACCATGTAATGACGTCTCTTTTTTGTGAGTATGTGTGGTTTTGAAAAGAACCTGAGGATACTCAACGTTTCGGACAGCTGGCACTGTTGTCAGGAGACCTTTTTTTCTCAATGTGCAGAGAAAGCCTCTGTCAATTGATAAATGCAGGCCTTTACAGAAATAACTAAAAGACGTTCATGTTGATTTGCCTGCTTGACAAAACAAATTTCAGTCATTTTATGGGCTCCTATTCTTTGCTTTTAGTTACAAGTCCGTGTATATCAGGCAACTCTCTGTGTAGCGGGACGGGGCAGTACTGTCTACCAGTTAGCAATGACGTTCGTTTCCAGTGCCAATGCAGAAGTCAACGAGGTTTCTTTGACAACGGGGACAATTCATGTAGAGGTATGTTATTTCCATTCAATTTTTTTTCCTGATTTTTGAAATACATTAAGAAACATAAGTTTTTTAGGGGAGAAAACCCACATAAGGTCACATGAAAATCATGATAGAATAACCGTAGAATGGATGCTTAGCTGACATCACAAAAAATTGTTTTTTGTTTCAGAACGCCAGGCAGTGCAAGTCACTTTCATACTAAATGTGAACTTCATCTCCGAATACGAAAACCCAACAGCGGCTGCGTCAAAGCAATTTGCTGGAAGAATTACTTCAGGGGTAATACACCAGCTAATTTTCGGATGCCCTATTTACAGTTGTGACTTATTTCTCAACATTGGTAAAATTTGATGCAAATTGCGAATCTGTACAATGAGTATTCTTACCTTTATTTCCATAAATACAATTGTTACAAAGCCCCATGCGCACGTCCTGCTACTAGATACCAATGAAAGTGTTCACTGTAGCACATGCTGTGTATGAGGCTGGATGAAATTATGGCCCTTGTTGTTCCACCTTTGAAATCGTACGTAAAGGAGGAGAAACGAACAACATTTTGTGCGCTTCTAATGAAGAGTATTTACAGCAAGCCATGAGTGCAGTTTCGTGCGGGAACTTCAGAGCCTCGTGGGCCAGGGGTAATCTGATAATTGCAATTTTGTTGAGAAATTGGGCTTTTGGTTAATAAATTGCAGTGGGTTGGGTTTTTTTATTGTTTCGCACACGAGGAAAATTTGAAGTATTCCAGTAAATACTCTCCAAAACCGGCAGTCTGTTTAAAGCGGCTAAAATCATACTTTGTAAAATGCGCCTTGCAGAGCTTTGCGCAGTCTTGAATTTAGTCCGGCACAAACTGCATAAAAACTGCGTCTTCACCTGCCAAAGACCATCCCCCACGCGATTCTTTGATGTAAAGATACTACTAACTACTGAGAACAGTGAGGAAGCTTTCATGTGAGATTCATTCAGTTCCATAATCCACCTCTCTATTAACAAATTGCTGTCCGAAAAGATATTGCTAGCTTATTATCCTTTGTTGCTGTCACTTGTCAGATCTTGAATGGACTGAGGGGAAGTGCAACAACTGAGCGTGTGTTTTCGGTGCAAGTCATAAGTATGAAAAGCGGGAGCGTGGTTGTGAGCTCAGCAGTAGCATTCCAAGGGAGCCTTCCGGCGGCAGACGCCATCAGGAGAGTGATAGAAGATGGTGGTGCAATAACAAGTGACGGTGGAACTATTCCCATTATACCCAACTCCGTCGTGGTAACAGGTAATATTATTGTTCTTAAACTGTCAGGCGGTATTTAAATTTTTCTTGGAATAGCCGGATTGCCATCCAAAATACAGGCCTTTGCGAGAAGTAAACTTCGCAAATCGAACACGAACGTGGTTCACTGACTAGAGTGCTTAGAAAATGTGCAGCTCAGATACACTCGTCATGACTTTTATGTATATTTTGTAAGGTGTTGAAGTATTCGCATTAATGTCCTTGTCATTTTTGTCTCTGTTTCTCTGTTTTACTAGACTTACCGACAGACTGCACAGCAGACACTTGTCAAAATGGTGGAATTTGTGAAAGATCCACTTTTGGCCCGCAGCTTACCTGCAGGTAATATCTCGTTAGGAACAAGGTGTGCAGATACGGAGTGGACAAATGTTAATGTTTTTACCACAGGTTTCACTTGTGTACATCTTGATGACATTGTATAGGGGATGGAAGAGTTCTTTACTTCTGGACGATCCACTTAATGTGCATTTAAGACTGAGTAAAACTTCATTTGAAGGTGCTATAGTGGTAATAATTAACACCAAGAAATATGAAATAGGTAAACATGTAAATTCATTTGAACTTTCGTTTTAGTTGTCCACCTTCGTTTACTGGTGAGAACTGTACAAGTCCGGTACCAACGACATTGACTCCAGTACCGACTTCTACAATGTCTACAGCTACAGTATCGACGTCTACAACGTCTACAGATACAGTATCGACACCGTCCACATCAGCTGCTCCAGGAGGTATACGACTTATCATTGCCATGACTTTCCCTCACTAATTTTTAACATGTCTTAGCAGACTTTGAAATTTGCATGTGATGTGTTAGATCACAGGCAATGAAGGTTCCAGCACATCGGTACCATCCTGATGTGATGAATACATGAATAGACGTAGGTGTGGACTTTATTGTACAGTATCAACACATTTCCGTGAGCCATTGATCACCTATCCCAGATTTAGGTTTCTCCCTTTTAAAATCAGTATGTTGAATTGTAAATGGATACAACACCCATTTAGTGTGTTTTGTCAAACTAGTGGCACGGATTTCTTTACCTCGAAGAATGTTTTGCATTTCATGTAATTCTTTTTGTGAAAAAAATAATAATTCAAGTCGGTGTGAAATCGTACCACTGTCCAGACTTTTGGAGGAAAAATGTCGTCAAACTTCACTGTGTTTGTATTCCAGATGGTTTGTCACCTTTGGCGACAGTTCTCATCATAGTGGGGTGCGTTGCTCTCCTCCTGATCATAGCCGGCTTGGTTCTCTGTTTCTGCATTCTGATGAAAAATCAACAGGCAAAGGCTCTAGCTCATGGCCCCAGGGAGCGTTTTAGTTTTGAGGGTCTCAGAGATCCTA